GGAGAATTTTTTTTAGAAAGATAGGCTTTAATCCATAATATCACATGGGGACATTTGCAAGGGCAAGACATGCTTTTTGAGTAAAGTTTTAATTGGTATCTATCAATTAGTATCATATAACCTTGCCCTTTGCATTGCATTCTAGCAAGTAGATAATTTTTAAATTTAAAGTTTTTATTATTTGCTTGCTATGGTCGTGTTGTCATCAATCACCAAAAAGGGGGAGATTGTAAGGAAAATGGACCCTTGGCCCATTTACTTTGGATTTTGGTGTTTGATGACCAACACAACCAAATTGGACTAATGAATTTGCAAGTGTTTGTTTTGTAGTCCAATAGGGTGTAAGACGTGACTTGGACGAAGGCGACATGATGATCTGATGATCAACACCTCAAGCAAGACCTTAGAAGCACAAGAAAAGACCCAAGATGTCAAGCAAAGTCCAAGCATGAAGATAGGAACCAAGCCGTGCGCAAGATCGCGAAGAAACGAGCTCGCAGAGGCGACCGGATGCTGGACCAGACGCTAGAAGCGCGACCGGACGCTGGACCGATGGCTCGGCAGACAGGCGACCGGATGCAAGGACCGGACGCTGGCGGCAACCGACCGGACGTAGGAACGCAGCGTCCGATCGAAATCTGAGAGGTTCCAGCGCGCTGAATCGTGGATCGGACGCGTCCGGGCGGAGGCGCGCATCGAACAACGGCAGCGTCCGATCGGTAGTTTGCGGTTGCAACAGTCGGGACGACGGACGCGCGTCCGGCCGGGACGATTCAGCGTCCGGCCAAGATGTATTTCTTGGGAGTTCGACCCCCAACAACTATTTTCTCGGTGGAGCTTATAAATACAACCCCAACCGCCATTTGAGGAGAGTGGAGCTGAGGAAACATATCAAGAGTGTTGATACACCATTTGAGTGATCTCCACATGCATAGTGCTTAGTGTTTTATTAGGTGATTAGCATAAGTGCTTTGCGAAGTGTTTAGGTTGATTAGACCACCGCTTATGCGCTTGCTCTAGGTGTTTGCCTAGTGTTTAAGTGAGGTTTGCATACCTCTTGCCACCCGTGCTTTGCGAGCACAAGAGTTGTACATCGGAGGGGCTTGAAGTCTTGCGAGATCGCACCAACAGCGTTTAGTGGTGCGGCCGCCACCGTGTAATCGAAGGGAACAAGGCCCACGGCGTTTCGTACCAAAGCTTGATAGTGAAGACGGCGGGGAGCATCCGGGAGAGGCTTGCCGGAAGGCACATCGGAGACCCACTTGCACGTGGGGAAGGCCCGAGGCTATCCACGGAGTTACCCGACCAGAGCTTGGCCCTTGCGAGGGATTCCTTGCGAGGGCTCCAACGAGGACTAGGGGAAGCTTGCGCTTTTTCGATACCTCGGTAAAAATACCGGAGTCGTCGACGGGAGTTTGCATATCTCTACCTCGCTCTTTAAGCTTCCGCATTTACATTGATCATATTATTATCATTTGCGGTAGAGATAGCAACACACTAGCAAAACCGTAGTTGATCATCTAGATAGATTATCTTTTGCATAGGTTTTGCTAGAGGTAGAAAAAGAGGCCATAGTTTAGAGTTAGATTTTTAAGTTGCCTAATTCACCCCCCCTCTTAGGCGTCCACGTGTCCTTCACCTGCTCCTGGTAGAGCAGGCATGCTTGGCTGGACTCGATCTCTCCCCATTCCTCCCAAGGGCTGGGACAATGGAGTGGTCGTGTGTCCTCATGCGGCATGCGGCTGAGGCAGATGGAGGGGTCGTGGTGACCCTCGGCCTTAGCGTTTGGCCCAGTCTGCTTAGCTTACCTAGGCCTCGATCATTTGGGCTTATACTAGCTAGCATACCGTGGGCTGCCCGAGTGGCTATCTAATCGGTGCCTTGAGATACCCAGGGTATCATAACCCTGACATTTGGCGTGGGACAGACGAGGGGATTTTTTTACCCTCAAGCCTGAAATTCGCCCCAGAGGGAAATCGAACTCAGGACCTAAGGGGTGTCGCCAAAGCGACCTAACCAACTAGGCTAGGGACCCTTTGGCTAAATTCTGCAATACGTGTGACCTACTTGTCAGATCCGTCATCCTCGCCCATTGAAAGCTCTAGTTTGATTTTGGTGAATTGATGAAACCCTAAGTGCTAACCTATTACTCTAGTGATTATGAGATAGGTAGTACATTCCAAGTGATGGAGCAAATAGAGAAGATCATGGTGATGGTGGACATGCCATGGTGATCAAGTGCTCGGGCTTGGAAAAGAAGTGAAAACAGGGTGTCGGACACATGTGCACAAAGTGATAAACTTAGTGGTTGGCACATTTGAGCAAGGGTGGTGAAGTTAGAGATCAAAAGGAGTGAAAACAGGGTGTCAGACCCTGGTTTTCTAGGGCGTCGGACCAGGCTAACCCTGGGTCCGATGGTTCCCTAGCGCATCTGAGTAGAGACCAAGAGCGAGGTTTTTGCATTGAACGGCCTCTGGCTGGGTCTAATGGCTAACCCTAATGCATGCACAAAGAGAAGGCAGCGTCGGATCGGGGCTCACAGGGGCGTCGGACTAACATGCGCACTGTTCATTTTAGTGCCGCGCGTGTGACTATGCGAAGTGGCGACGCGTGGGGCGTCAGACTCCCTCCTGGGTCCGATGGTGGGCGTTGGACCGGAGTCTGACTGGTTTTGTGCTCTCTGGACCTTACTGGACCGCATCGGACCCTCCCTGTGTGGAGTCCGACGGTGGGTCCGATGGCCTGGGTCTGACCGTGATTGTTCAGCACGCGACTGCCTGACCGTTGGTGGCAACGGTCAACTCGTTTGACTAGGACGCGTGGCAACGCGAGAGTGGACGTGGCAGGGCGTCTAACCGACCGTCAGACGATCCAACGGCCCCGAGGCCGTGAGTCCGATGGTCACTTATGTGACCCAACGGCTCTATTTTGTGGGATGCCTATATTTAAGCCCCATAGCCGGCTCTAGCTCACTCTCTTGGTTATTTGTATTGACATAGCAACCTTGTGAGCTTAGCCAAAGCCCTCCCACTGATCTCCTTCATAGATTCATCATCTTTGTGAGATTGTGAGTGAATCCAAGTGCATTGCTTGAGTGATTGCATCTAGAGGCACTTGATGATTGTGTTTCACGACGGATTTTGCTTGTTACTCTTAGTGGTTGCCGCCACCTAGATGGCTTGGAGCAGTAAGGATAATTGAGCAGAGGAAGGTGCTTGTCTTCAGCTCCGATCGTGGTGATTGTGAGGGGTTCTTGACCTTTCCTCGGCGGAGAGCCAAAATGTACTCTAGTGGATTGCTCGTAACTTGTGGATCCCCATCTTGTGTTGGTTGTGCGGCACCCGATTACGGGTTAGGCGTGTGATGCCTATTAGCGCGTGAACCTCCAAGTGAGTGAATCGCTACAACGAAGATGTAGCTTGCCGCCAAGCAAGTGAACCTTGGGGATAAATCATTGTGTCATCTTGTCCCGAGGATTTCATTGGTTATCTTGTGATTGATTGATTGATCATCGCTTGCCACGTCGGTATATCTTCACTACCTTTACTTGTATTTACATTTCCTAGTGTAGATAAGCTCTTTAGTGTAGTTAGTCTTGAGAGCTAGCTTTTCTTACTTGTGTAGTGGTTAGTGAGGCTCTTTAGTTAGTCTTTGAGAGCTCACTAGCTTAGTGGTAGTGACATAGCCTCTTGTGTGTGTTAGAGACTATAGTGACTAGAATTGTGATAGGTGGCTTGCAATTTTAGTAGGCTAGCGCATAAATTGCTTCGCCTCATATATTATCTAACTATCTTGCTTAAGTGTTGTTGTAGAATTTTTATTGGCTATTCACCCCCTCTAGCCATTAGGACCTTTCACCCATCCACAACCAGATACCTCTTTACTGCACACACCACACCTCACCTCAGCGTTGTCGTCCCGCCAATCTGCCAAACAATCGCATGTCCTCCGTGTCGCACTCTTTTGACCTGACACGCTCGACCGGGCCGTGTCCTTGGCCACTGCGTGCTCGTCATCCTTGTCTGTGCTCTGGTGGTCTATGGTAATGGCCATGGCTCACAATCACGGTAGCGGTGGTGTGTGGCGGTAGCCATGGGCCATAGCTCACGGTTATGGCAGCGGTGGTGTGTTGTGGTGGCCATGGCTCCTAGCGTGTAGCGAAGAAGAAGAAATGGTAGTTATTGTGGGGCCTATGCTATTAGAGAAGATGAAACTCCCATTTGTTTGAGGGGAGAAGAGCAGTTTTTTTTGGTGGCCTCAAAAAAAGGAAAGAGGTGCTGCTGGAGAAAAAAAAAACAACCCTATGTTCCCCAATATGATAGTTTGATGGATCTTATTGTGGAGCTGCTCTAACGCTTGTTGTTTGTTGGGTTCCATATTGGCTTCTTCTGAAATGGAAGCATACCGCACATGTCATACATGCACAATGCGTGATACGTGGGGGATAATGAGAAGGGCGAGAGAAGGGCTGCCATGGGCTTCTCGATAATAATATTGGGAGACGCCGGCTAGGCTCATAAGGACCCGGCCCATAAACATGACAGTTATCCATGGGCTTTCTACTAGATTGACAACCTTTTCGGTAGAATGTGATTACGGCCCGCATGAAACAATTGACATCTGTCATAATTTGTTGCCCGCGTGAACCATTGCAAAAGAATTTAACCAACTATATATAACATATATTTGTTTTCTGTTGTTTATTTTTGGATTTTATTGCAAGATTTAACAACATTTGTTTAGTTGCTCGCTCATGACATTGTTCATCGATAGTGAGGCGTCTCAATGACTTTGTTAATCTAGAGATCTGTTGGTTTAGTTTTTCAGATGTGCTCGTAACGCCTGCAGATTAGCCATGGCTTTGATGGCCGGATGTGGAAAGGGATTACCTCTTAGATTCTTAACAGCAACCCATTATGAAACTTGCTTGTAGTTTCGCAACTGATTCCAATGACTTTGTTTCGGCCGACCGTCATTTTATCGCCCCGCACGGCCATTTCCTACGCCTGTGCGTCGCCCGTCTTCCTCTTCTCCCCCTTCTCTCTCTCCCCGAGCGGTCGCCCGTCTTCCACTTCCTCTTTGAAGCCGAGGTCTGGGATGGCCTCGATCTCATCTGCCCCGCAGGTGTGTCTGGCGAGCCGAAGACGCAGGCGGAGGAGGAGCGGCTCGCCCTGCTCCAGTGGACTCGCTCCCCCGGCGTCGACTCGGGCATCTGAGACGCCGAGGCGAGCTACACCAACATAGGGCTCCTCGCGGCGGTCGACGAGGTGCTCCTCCTGGCGGCGGAGGACCCCTTCCCGCTCCCCGCCGCTGCCTCCGCGCACCGCCGCCTGCACATCGCCGTGGGCGCCGCCGCGTCCATGGACGGGCGTCCTAGATCCAGGGTCCGGCGGTGTCGATCCTTGGTCGGGGCGGCCTGGATCCACGACCTGGCGGCCTTGCTCGGCGCCGCGATGCTGTGAGGCAAGTCGCCGCCGCTGCTTAATCGATTCACCATGATTGCTAGCTGATTGATTTTGATGTTGATTTGCTTTAGATTTTATTTCCCCAGCAGACATTCCTCTGTCTTGCTCGGTGCACGCGCATCAGGTCAATCTCCAGCAAGCAAGCTACGACTACAGGCTACCCATCAACGAGATCACATCCAGGTAATACTCCCCCATCTGCTCTTTGCTCTTCCTTTTTTCGATGTCAGAGATTGAAAGAGACTAAAGACCGAGAGATTGAATTATGCTAGGCTGCATCTCTAGTAGTTGTGTTGCCTGTTTTCAAGTATGGTTCACTCAGATTCGTTTCTGTTAACGCGCAAGATAGAATTTGCTACTAAAAAATTGCAGACGGATTTGCATTTGGCCTCAAATGAATCGTTTAGAAAATAATTACCACTGCATCTAGCACCGTAGCCGACCTTTTCCCTATTTCTTCCTATTGCTCCTCGGCCGCAAAACTCATGCAGGTGGCCTCCATTTGCCTCCTTGTCAAGCAGCACAGCAGGCACACAACAACTTGCCACCTGCACCTTAACGTGAGTCCTCTTTGTACTTTGTACTCCTCCCATCCAAATTCAGTGTTGAGGCTACACAGTTTGGGATCTTATAAAGTATAATACAAATTTTTTTGCCTTGCACTTTCCTTGTTGTAAGTTCACCCTTCATGCTACACATGAATAGTTTGGCTGGGGGAGGTGGAGGGCGAGTTTCTATTAATGTTTTTAGTAGACATGATGACACCCAGATTTTTGTTCATGGTAACTTTCTCTAAGTTCACACTGATTTTCTTTTTCTTACTTGGTTTTTAGTGTTAACAGTTATCACTTTTGGAAGAACTGTAGGTAGAAAGATCAAAGATGCATATAGCTCTTTACCATCTGTTTCACTTTATGGTTACCAGTCTTATTATCTTACCTTTGGCTACATGCTATTGCTTCTTTCTATATACATCTGGGATCCGCTCTGAATTGATCTCTACTTCTCTTTCTCTCTTGTATTCTTGTGATTTAGGTTTAACAGTCTACATTCACGGGAGATCTGCATGCCAAAGATGTACTACGGGTCATTGCTATAGCAATGCTAATCGTGATGGTTCATACAGTCATACGTCTCTGCTTATTTAAAACGGGGGGTGGGGGTGGGGCTGTGGGTTGCAAATGAACACAGACACTATACTTGCTTTTTCAGAATACATAAATTGCCTATTTAGGAAGAGATTGTTGCCTAATGAATGACACTTAAATTGCCTATGAAAATGCAATCCACTACAGCATTACCATATTTGCTTCATGTGAGTTTCAGATTTCTAAGCATACATGGAAATACTGGATGTCATATATTATTGAGCTAGTCGCCCTTGTTGTATTGTCATATCTTAGGCATTTAACAGTAATATCTTTGCTTCTTTCTACATGCATTAGGATTTCAAAAATATGCCTGTGCGAACATCACCAAGTATGGCATTAGCTTCGAGATCAATAAGCAGCCTCATTTTGATCCCAGCGATTTTTCACTTTCGGAGGGAGGTGATGGCATCGCCTATGGAGGTGAGGCATTGGGTCCCACTTCGATTTTTCATTCTCTGCTTGATCTGTATTTTTGCCCGTTACACAAACAGATGCAATGCATAAAAAATGAAAACTGAGCTCTGTATTTTTTTGCAAATAAAGTGGGGTGGGTATGTGGGTTGCAAATAAACACAGACACTATACTTGCTTTTTCAGAATACATAAATTGTCTATTTAGGAAGACACTGTTGCCTAATGAATGATACTTAAATTGCCTAAGAAAATGCAATCCACTACAACATTAGCAGCAGCAACCTGCTCATCACCAATAGAGGCTCCAGGAACATCCTCTATTTTTGCTTCTTCAAGCAATAGCCTGATTTCAGACATAGTAGGCACATCCTGTTGGTTTGGTAGTTGTTGAGTGCAAAATATTTGGGTCAGCTGCATCTGTTGGCTCTTGAAACATTGCATCTAGGAAATCATAGTCAAATTCTGGTGGAGGAACATTGCATCTAGGAAATCATAGTCAAATTCTGGTGAGGGTTATTTCAAGTCTGTAATCGTCACCTACAATGAAAAGACAATGTGTTAGTGCAATGATATTTATGTTTTTAACACAAGGCATTAAGAACAGTACTGATTTGGGCAACAGATTATTTCTCGATTGGTGGTCCAGCAGATTAATTTGTTATTGAACTCACTACTCTGGTTGCTCTCTTAGTAGTGAAACAAATGTGCTATTTTGTTCATCTAAGAAATAAATTAACTCATGCAGGGCTGGAACAGAGCCTGAGTGCAAGCAATATATTAAAGGCGCGTGCCTATATAGATTTGGAGTTCAAAAGATTGTTGCTGATTGCTGAGAAAATTCACACAAGGGGTTTTAGAGAAAATCTGGAGCTCTAACAGAGATTGCCAAGATAAGATCATCCTCTCCTCATGCAGATTTAGGGAAAGTTAAAGCTTTGTTGTTCTCTGGTGGCCTTACGCCTGAGCTGTACAAATGGACCCTGCTTTGGTAGGTCCATGTACCAAATTAGCAAATCCCTATAGATGCTATTTTTATAGGATACTAAAATACCTATAACATGCTATTTTGATACTAGGATTACTAGTATCAAACTGATTTGGATCTTCATCTGAAGGCTCACAACTGTCACCTGAATAGATGCTAGGTGTTACAACTCTTTCCACGAACAAGAATTTTAGTCTCATACTTCTCACCAACCTATTATGCCAAATCGGCATGGTTTTAGCACTAGCACAGCATGTGAGTTTCTGAATCCTCAAGCCTTCTTGGTGAATAACGAATCCTGCAGGACAAAAACATTTCAACATTCTACAATTGAGCTAGTTGCCCTTGCTTCATGTGAGTTTTTGATTTCTAACTATACATGGAAATACTGGATGTCATACATTATTGAGCTAGTTGCCCTTGTTGTATTGTCATATTGTAGGCATTTAACCGTAATGTTTTTGCTTCCTGCTACTAAATTATGGCAGGCTATTCCATATATGTTTCGTGTTTTTCACAATAAATGAAATTCACTACACGCTTACTGGATGCTCTATGTGGTCAGCTCAAATCAACACGACATTCAGCCGCACAGGAATCACTATTCCAGATGGATGATATTCAAAGCTTTCTATAGGCAACACAATAAGGGTTTATACCGGCAATAATATAACACCGAATAGGCAACAATATATCATTTAGATAGGCAACAATATTATTTTTTCTTTTAGCTGCCCCTCTTGAAGGGCAGGCCTGGTGCAGTGGTGAGAGCTGTCTCACTGAGTCACCAGGTCGTGGGTTCGAAGCAGCCTCTCCGCAGATTTTGCGGGGGAAGGGTTTGTCTCGGTTTATCCCTTCCCCAGACCCCACTCATGTGGGAGCCTCCGGCACTGGGTCTGCCCTGCCTGCCCCTCTCCCCCCCAAAAAATGTCACCATCAATGCTAGTAACATTTTTTGGTCCCCTTTTTCGTGCTGCAGACAAAAAGAAAGTTGTCCTCTGTTAGTCAAGTTTATGGTGGGTTGCTCACCTACAAGTGGTTCATGCACAAAGAAAATGATTTAGATTGGAAGAAAAAATTAAAATTTGAATTGGCCATAGGTACATCTCTCTCTCCACATAATGCAAATTTCTTCATGTTTTTGTGTTAGCCATTCAGATAACATGTCATCTGTTCATCTAAATTTAGCTTTAGATTGGTAGCCATCTATATGCTTCAGGTATATTTTTTTGGAGGCCCATATGACTATTGCACACAGTACCACACTAGGCAATTTGGGTCAGCTGCATCTGTTGGCTCTTGAAGCATTGCATCTATTTTGTTGCCTACAATAAAAAGAGAATGTGTTAGTGCAATGATATTTATGTTTTTAACACAAGGCATCAAGAACAGTACTTACAACAACAACAACAACATAGCCTTTCAGTCCCAAGCTAATTGGGGTAGGCTAGAGTTGAAACCCACCAAGAGCCCCAAGCATCAAGAACAGTACTTATTTGGGCAAAATATGCACCTCTATTAAGCAATACTATTACTACTATCAGACAATAATGTCTTCTCAAATAGGCAACATAAGGTTTTTTTTTTAACATATGCATCTTTTTTTATCTCCATAAGTTGGCTTACATAGACATATAACAATCCTTGGCGGCTCTGTGGCTTGCTGTCAGTTCTTGTGCATGCATGTAAGTAGTTTGTTGGCCTTAGTTTGATTTGCCTCGGCTCCAGAGTCCAGTCTCTTTGACTATAGACGATCTGCCCACCGTTGCAAGCACCAGCAGTTGCATGCAGTTATGCTGGCAAAGTTTGCTCACTATTTGTGTCCTGTTTTGTAAAATTTCTGACACATGTTATCCTTTTTTTGGCACTTCAATTGAGCAATAATACTGCTACTTTCAGACAATAATGTCTTCTCAAATAGGCAACATATTTTCCATATGCATCCTTTTCTCATCTAGCAACAAATTTCTGACACGTATTTTTTAACATGCAGGCCATGTACAGCTTATCCTGACCTTGCAGCATGGGGGTTGTGAAGCAAGTACCTAAAACCAAATGTGTGCTTTTGCCTAGGGACTAGATGTATAGTGCTGTGGTCTAGAAAAACTGCAGATGCAAATGTGTTCTTCTGAGATGGGATGGCAGACATAGAACCAATCAGTCTTATGAGAAGGTTACTGCATGTTTTTTTTTCCTTCTGAACGTGTACATGCCAGTACCTAAAACCATATTTCTGCTTTTATAAATTGTAGCAAAAAGCAAATGTGTTCTTCTGAGATGGAGCATATTATGAACACTTTTGGAGTAGGCAAATCAGCTCTTCATACCTGATTGTTTTTGGATTTCTTGGGTTGTTTTGCGCCTGCCTGGGAGTTGCCAGGAAGCCGGCTGCGCAAGCCAATAAGCTTGCGATTTAGTACGGTGGGAAAATGTTTCTTTGCGCGCCAGCTATTACTATTGTTTACTAAAAATGGATATAATAAAAGCACTTTACCAAAAATGGCATGGCCGTACAAAAAGTTTATGTTATGTTCGTTTGGTTTAGAAGCCGTATTTTTTCAACCAATGAATAATATTTTTTTCTAAGAAAAATCAGTCAGCCAGATGAACATAGCATATATTATGGCCGGCTGTATTATAGCTGCTTCCATTGCCTCTCAAAACAGAAGTTGCTTCTAGAAAGACATTCTGCATTGGTCCTATTATACAACCGCTGCTCTCTCTCAGAACGTCAGAAATTCAGAATAATCAACAGTTATTGGGCGCGAACCCAACACGCTGGCCATCGATGTCGTACACGATGCGGATCCCCTGCTGCTGGAGGTTCCCGATGATGGAAACGCTACGGTCACCGGTGCCGGCGAACACGAAGCACACGGTGCCCCTGGAGTCCACGGGGATGAGGTAGTTCTTGGGCGGGAGCCTCACCTCCACACCGCTGGCAAAGTGCATCGACACGGCAGGCACCTTCACTCGCCCGCCGCCCACGGAGTAGCACGTATCGAAGAAATGGGAGGGGCCGCCGGTGGAGACCTGGCCGAGGTCTGTTGCCGCAGCGCGGAAGGCGTCACGGAAGGCTGTGTACACGGGACGGGCGAGCCGCGTCACGGTGGTGCCGGAGTCCAGAATGACGCCGCCACGGCCCGTGTGTGGGTCTAGCTGGAGGTCGCGCTCCGAAACGCCCGGCACGCGCACGCCGCCAACACTGATGCCGATGAGCCGCACGTAGTAGAACGTGTCCATGTTCAGGTTGCGGACCGTGGGGGTGAACGACGCCGGCGGGTAGGTGTCCGCGGCGCCGGCGCCGAAGGTGAGGATGGAGGAGACAGAGCCTGGGTTGGAGAAGAAGTCGACGAAGCAGTAGGAGAAGCTCCGGTTGTAGCCGAGGCCGGCGATCTGGTTCGGAAAGGACATGAGGCCACGGCCGAGGCCTAGGATCCCCGCCGCCGGCGCCCCGAACAAGCCCTGGTTGTTGTGGCCGCACCCGATCGACAGGTGCGGTAGCCTGAGGGCGCCCGCGAAGGCGCGAAAGGTCAGCGTCTCTGAGATGAGGTCGCCCGACGTCGTGGAGCCGTCCCCGTAGCCCACCGTGTAGACGCACGTCCTGCGCTGCGCGTTTCCGCCGCCGCCGGACCGGCCCAGCGCTTGGCACGCTGGCGCGTTGTACCTGATGTCCTGGCGCGACGTCGAGCGCCGCGGGTCGAACACGGGCCCTGACTGAGGGTAGCACAGTTGGCACGGCTTGCACTGCAGCCACGTCAGGTCGCTGCCCGTGTCCGGCACCAGCAGCGCCTCGACGCCTGGCGTGCCCACCACGATCTTGGCGATGTACTCCCCGCTCGTCGGCGCCCCGGATACCACCGGCGCCACAAACCTGCCGCCGCCGGAGAGTCGTCTGACGACCCGCGTGGCGTTTCCCCCCGCCGCGGCCGCCGCCTTCGAGATGATCCATGCTGCCCTCCGCTCGTCTCGCTGTAGGCGGCGCTTGAGGAGCTCGGCTGCGGTGGCGTTCACCGCGAACGAGTCGCGGTGGTGCAGGCGGACGTGCAGAGCCGATGACGACATCGCGACATCATCCTGAGCGTCGGCACTGCCATAGACGTCGGCAGCCGGGGCGGTGTATGAGTGGGGCGAGAGAGGGGTTACCACATAATTGTGGTACTCGTACTCCACGGGCATGGCGAGCCCGACGACGACCGCGTCAGAGAACATGGCGAGCAGCAGGAGAAGTCCAGCGAGAGACGACGACGCCATGGTTATTAGCAAGCGAGCAGAAGTCACTTGCTGGATCAGTAGAAGTGATTCCATGGCTGCAGGGGGGCTTGATGGTTATATGGCTGCAGTGCAGGGAGATTAATGAGGCCGCGTCTCCAGCGACCAGCGTGAGTGGCAACAAGGGGCTGTATAGCCAGAAGCAGGCGGCTGTAGCTAGAACAGGAGATTAGAGATAGACTAAAGATACACTAGCTATGCAGGATGTGATTAATTAATTAATAGATATAAGGAGCTAGAGCCATTTTTATATGGAGTAGAAGCTACTTTTGAGCCTTTCAGCTCCGGCTGTGGCTCTGGCTCTAGCTCCGGCTCAATGGTGGAGCTTGGAGTAGGAGCTGTGCCAAACACCCAAAGAGTCGGGCTTGTGTTTTTAAGATATCTACTGGTGCTCCCAATTTATAGTTTGTAAGATGTTTTAGGACCTGTGTGAATTCAGCAACAGTTTCAGCAGAGTTGCAGGAGAAAAGATATCAAATAAGCACCCCAAGACGAGCAATTTTCTTCATGTAGATATGAGGAGCTAGAGCCATTTTTATACGTGGAGTAGAAGCTACTTTTGAGCCTTCCGTGCTCCGGCATAGTAGAAGCTACATTTATAGATAAAGATACAAACATCTACAACATTCAATATGTTCATTAGACACGCTAAAAAAAATATTTGGATAGTGCATTTATAGATATTGTACATGTTAATATGTTTTTGTATGAACATATATAGTCACAAGTTGAGAAGTTTGACTGACAAAATAATATTATATTGCTAATAGAATGATACAAGGTGAGACGTTTGCTTCGATCAGAAGTGTCACAGCTGGAGGGGGGTGGTGGTTGTACGTAAGAAGAAGGGAAAGGGAGCGACATAGATGGCCAACGGGCCAGCCCGGCACGGCACGGCATGGGCCCGTGCCAGCATGGCCCGATAGCCAATGGGCCGGCACGGCACGCCGTGCCTCCCGGGCCGTGCCTCACAGGGCCACGGGCCTAGCCTTCGGCCCAGGCACGGCCCTATGGGCCGATTTCCGTGCCGGGCCGGGCCGAGAAGCACGGCCATTTCACATGTCGTGCCAGCCCGAGGCCCACTGAGCGGCCACGTGGGGAGGCGAGGCGAAGGTGGCCGGGCTGGGAGCGGCGAAGCTCCGGATCTCGGGGGGCAGGAGCTGCGCAAGCGGCGCCCTCCCTCAAGCGATGGAGAGGAGGAGATGAAGAGGGGCCGAGGGGGTGAGCGAGATGGAGAGAAGAGAAAACAAGGAAGGGAGGGAGTCGCCGGATCTGCCCGCCCGAGCGCTCCTAGCCACGCGCCGTCGAGGGAGAGTGAGGGAGGGAGGGAGGCAGGGACGGGGAGGAGGCGCCGCGCCAGCGTCGAGGCAAGGGTGGGGAGCTGGATCCGCGGTGGAGAAGACCCAGCGTGGCCAGAACCACGGCGGAGATCCAGCGCCGCCGCGGAGGCGAGGGATGGTGAGGAGGAGGACGGATCTCAGGGCACCAGATCTGCGTCGGGGCAGAGCTCGGGGCCGGCGCTAGGGTTCGGGGTGAGGCGTGAGGGAGAGGCGGAGAGGGAGCAGCGCCGGCGTGAGGGAGAGGCAGAGAGGGAGCGGCTTCGGGGTGAGGCGTGAGGGAGAGGCGGCGCTAGGGTTCGGGGTGAGGCGTGAGGGAGAGGCGGAGAGGGAGCGGCATCGGGGTGAGGCGTGAGGGAGAGGCGGAGGGTGAGGCGTGAGGGAGAGGCAGAGAGGGAGTGGCGCCGGTGAGGCGTGACTACGAGAGGGAGAGGCGGAGAGGGAGCGGCTTCGGGGTGAGGCGTGAGGGTGAGGGAGAGGCCGAGAGGGAGCGGCGCCGCGCTGGGCCTTAGGGAGGGGAGGAGTGAGGAGGGGGTGGCGGCAAGCTAGGCCGCTAGCGGGCCGACTGCTCTGTAGCAGGCCGTGCCGTGCCGGCCCACGTGCCTAGGGTAAGGCCCAGACACGGCCTGCTCCTCTAGGCCGGGCCGTGCTTGGACCGGGCCAAAAAACCGGCCTTGGGCTAGGCCGACGGGCTCAGGCTGCATGGCCAAATATAGGGAGCGAGGAGGTTGCTTGGATCATCATCAGAAGATAAATGAGGTTGCATCTGCTGGGGATACGCCATGCATGGTAGCATGCAGCAGCAAGGAGTTGGCAACGGACAGTACGCATGCGGCTGCAGCTAGAACAGGAGCTTGGAGATAGATGTTTGTATCCTTAAATCTAGTATCAAAATATTTTTCTCAGTCTCTAATGAACATATTTATTGTTGTAGATGTTAATGCTAGGCATGTTTGACTTCAAAAGGTTCTTCAAAGAAAAAGGTTTGACTCCTGTTGTAGCACTAGTAGGTCAAACACAAGCTCAAGCTGTTACTTAGCACATTAATAACTAATCAAATCCTTTCACCAAAAAAAAAAAGGAAAACTAATCAAATCATCCATATTCGATATGTAGTGTATCTCTAATCTCCTGTTGTAGTTGCAGCCGCCTGCATTTTGTCTGTTGCCAAAGCCTTTCTGCTACATGCTACGATTCATATCGTACCCACAGCAGACAGCAGACGCGGCATCGTTAGAGTAACTCCAAGACCTTCTCTATGTCCTTCGTAATTGTTAAGAGTATAGATTTTTTTTTTAAAAATATCCTCGAACAACTTCTCTAAATAGATATCTAGATTTCTCATTGCCCAAAGATAGACAACGATTTGGACTCTCTAAAGTGCACACAAGATATATAAAAGCCGTTTAAAGAGTGCAAAGATATAGAAAATAATTTTTTATTTAAATGACTTTTCTAACGATGGTTTAGAGAATGAGTTTTGGGAAGACTCTCGGAGATGTCTTAATCTACTGATTGAATCCATGCAGCCATGGAATCTACCATCTCGCTCCCTTTCTCTTCTCACATATAACCACCAATCCGTGCAGCCATGGCAAAACTTCAGGTCACTTCTGATCGAACCAAGTGACTCTTAACTACCATTTTATATAGTACTACCTCCGGTCCTAAAAGAATACAACGATGAGTTATGTGTCACGAAAACTAATTTACGTTTGACTAAATTTCTAATGAATGGTAATCACATTTATGACTCTAAATTAATTTATTATGAAAATATATTTTGTAATTAATCTAATTGTATTAATTTGATACTATAAATATTTATATTTTTTATCTATAATTGGTCAAACTTAATATACTAAAACACGACACAGTTCGAGAATTGCATTCTTTTAGGGACGGATGTACTATAATATTATTTTGTTGCTGGTCAAACTTCTCAACTTTTGACTAAGTTTATATAAAAATATATTAACATGTACAATATCATTAATAAATGCACTACCCAAATATTTTTTTCTTGGCGTATCTAATGAATACATTTAATTTTGTAGACTTTGTATCCTTATCTATAAATGTAGTTAAGAAAGCAAGATAAGCAAGTTTGAGTTTGAACAAAACTATGTGGATGTTTGGTGTGGCTCCTACTCCAACAGCTCCTCCACTTGAGCCGGAGATGGAGCAAGAGCGAAAGGCAAAAATGTTGCTTCTACTGCACATGTAAAAATGGTTTTGACCCCTCACGTTAAGGGTCTGTTTGGGACAACTCCATCAACTCTAGATCCGGACCTAAAAAAGTTTGTTAAACACATCGAGTTCCACTAGTAGATCTGTTCCACCAATTTGGTGGATTTGCCAGCTCAAGAGGTGTTCCACCAAATCCACCTTGAGAAAAATTACCCACCACTGCCACCGGTTGAAATAACGATTCGATTCGTTCTGTTTCACGTCTTCATTGGCACGACCGCACCCTCCCCTCCAGCATCCCGTGCCTAAGCGCGTGTTTAGTTTCACCCCAAAATCCCAAAAAGTGCTACAATACCTATCACATCGAATGTTTGCGGCCCGTGCATGGAGCATTAAATGTAGACGAAAAAAACTAATTGCACATGTTTGGTGGGAAATTGCGAGACGAACGTTTTGAGCCTAATTAGTCCATGTTTGAACACTAATTGTCAAATAAAAACGAAAGTGCTACAGTAGCCCAAAATTCCAACTTCCTGGAACTAAACACGCTCTAACCGTCGCCGGAGCCCCGCCCGCGGCTCGCCGGAGACCTCTGCCAGCCCCACGCGACCCAGTCGCGACCTCCGCCGGTCCCGCCGCACCCACCCGCGACCTCCTCTTCTGGTGTTTTGTATGGTTTCTCTTTGGCAACGACGCAGGTCCGATCGCATTGACCTCTTTGGCAGGGCTCTGGCCGGCTCCGGCTGCGGCACTGTAGCAGGGTGTCGGTCGCTGGGCGGCCGACAGGAGGCTGCGGGAGCCGGAGCCGGAGCCGCGGAGCCAGAAAAACGAGCTCCGGCGGCTCGGCGCGTGTAGTAAGAGAGGAAAAGGAGGGGAGAGAAAATGGTTTCGATGAACAGTGAAGGGTGTCGGCCGCTGGGCGGCCGACAGGCATGCCAAAGAGGTCAACTAATCAAATCCTCCCTACTGTATCTGTAGTCTTATCTCTAATCTCCTGTTGTAGCTAGCTACAGCCGCCTGCTTGTAGCTATACCATCAGTACTCCGTCACTCTCGCTGGAGACGCAGCCTCTTGCGTTGCGTGCTCTCCTCGCTCCATTATATAACCCTCGAGCCATGTCATCACTCCAGCTCAGTTCTACTGATCCAGCAAGTACGTGACTCCTGCTCGTTTGCTAATGGCCATGGCATCGTCGTGTATCGCTGGACCTCTGCTGCTCGCCGCGTGCTCCCACGCCGCCGCCGTCGGGCTCGCCACGCCTGTGGAGTACCAGTACCACAGTTCTGCGGTAACTCCTCTGTCTCCCGCGCAGGAGGACGACGTCGCTGTGTCGTCGTCGGCTCTGCACGTTCGCCTGCTCCATCACGACTCGTTAGCAGCGAACGCCACTCCAGCCCAGCTCCTCGCGCGCCGCCTGCAGCGGGACGAGCTGAGGGCAGCGTGGATCATCTCGAAGGCTGCTGCGAACGGTACGCGGGACGTTGGGCTCTCCAGCGGACGCGGGCTCGTGGCGCCGGTGGTGTCCAGGGCGCCGACGAGCGGGGAGTACATCGCCAAGATCGCGGTGGGTTCGCCGGGCGTCGAGGTGCTGCTGGCGATGGACACGGGCAGCCATCTCACGTGGCTGCAGTGCCAGCCATGCCGGCGGTGCTACCCGCAGTCCGGGCCCGTGTTCGACCCGCGGCACTCGACGTCATACGGCGAAATGAATTACGACGCGCCAGATTGCCAAGCGCTGGGACGATCCGGCGGCGGCGACGCGAAGCGCGGGACGTGCATCTACACCGTGGGCTACGGGGACGGTTCTACGACGGTAGGCGACCTCGTCGAGGAGACGCTAACCTTCGCGGGCGGCGTCCGGCAGCCGTACCTGTCGATCGGGTGCGGCCATGACAACAAGGGCCTGTTCGGGGCACCGGCCGCGGGGATCCTGGGCCTCGGCCGCGGTCAAATATCGATCCCGCACCGGATCGCTTTTCTGGGCTACAACGCGAGCTTCTCCTACTGTCTTGTTGACTTCTTGTCTAGCCCCCCCGGCTCCCTCTCCTCCACCCTCACCTTCGGTGCCGGCGCCGTGCACACCTGCCCGCCAGCGTCCTTCACCCCCACGGTCTGGAACCCGAACATGGGCACGTTCTACTATGTGCGACTCGTTGGCGTCAGCGTGGGCGGCGCGCGCGTGCCGGGCGTCACCGAGCGCGACCTACAGCTAGACCCATACACGGGTCGCGGAGGCGTCATCCTGGACTCCGGCACCACCGTGACGCGGCTCGCCAGCCCAGCGTACATCGCGTTCCGTGACGCCTTCCGTGCCGCAGCAGCCGATCTCGGCCAGGTCTCCATCAGCGGCCCCTCTAGCTTCTTCGATACGTGCTACACCGTGGGCGGCAGGGGCGTGAAGGTGCCCGTACGTATCAATGCACTTCGCCGGCGGCTTGGAGGTGAAGCTCCCGCCCAAGAACTACCTCATCCCCGTGGACTTCAGGGGCACCGTCTGCTTCGCGTTCGCCGGCGCGGGTGACCGTAGCGTTTCAGTCATCGGCAACATCCAGCAGCAGGGGTTCCGCGTCGTGTATGACCTCGCTGGCCAGCGCGTCGTGTTCGCGCCCAATAGCTGCTGATTATCACTCTGACTTCTGAGTTAGAGCATGGGTTGCATAAGTGAATGTGCTGATTTGAACCTCGTTCGTGTTCCTATGTCTATATCTCTCTGTATCTCTATATCTATAACTATTTCCATACCTAATATTAAAGAGCCAGAATTTTTCCTATTTTTTTCTATCTTTTCCTAACTAACTCCGTGAACTTGAAAACTCTCTTTTTGCCTCTCTAGAACTCTCCGATTTTATAAATGACTATACATGATTTATTGACAGAACCAAGATAATCAAACATATCCGTTTCATCCTCTCAAAAATAACAGATCCTTTTCGTCCTAAATAATTTGAATAGAAATTCTAATCCAATTAAAAAAATGATAAAAAGAGAAATAAGGCTATTTTCTGCGACACAATGTACATCTTTTCAGTAAAATACCCCATGTTCCACGGTTTGCTGAAGTTATTTTACATACGTCGCCTATTCGTATGAGATGCCGCATCCGATCCGATTTTGCTCCTCTTCTTTCTCGTGAGAACCCCAATTCTGATTTCTCTTTCTTTCCAATTACTGGGGTAATGCCTGTACGTTGCATTAGGTAAATGATCAGATGTAAAATCAGATAAAACAAAGAGATTTTGTAGGACATCAGTAGAGTAGAGCACAGAAACAGGATATCGTAGTCCTTCATTTCAGTTCCAAGCTAGCTTAGCTAGTTTTCGTGCAATCAAGGTTACTAACAATATAGCTAGCTAAGACTAAGAGCAACTTTTGTTTTGTGTGTCGACCTTGATGATGCCCAGTGCCTTTTTAATTTTTATAGACAGTCAGCTGGCCACCTACTCATCCATTCATTCTCATGCATGCATATCTTGGTCATTCCCTCATTGGTCAAGGCGATTTGTTAAGGAGCCAAGCTCCAGAAGCTCCTTGCGGTTCTTTGGCAGCGGCTTCCTTCTGGTCCACTGGCATGGTGTGGCCTTGGGCCCGAATGGCAGGAACGGGTCTCACGGAGCATATTATGACTCACGGTGTCTGTGTTGGGGATCTTGGCACGAACAAATGGTCGATGGTTCAATGCGTTCGAGGTGAGCAGTGCTGCGCCGCGCTAGTGCGCCCTCCACACGACGTATCAAAGACGGTGACGTTCCTATCGGGGGCTAAAGGAGTTCATATCAAATACCGATAAGATTTGGTGTCGCCAGGTAGATGACGAATTTAGAGTATTTTTAGGTGTAGAAATTTTTTATTCCTAATCCGTCCAGAACCACATCACCGTTTTGGTTTCTCTCTTTTTTTTCTAGGTGCACCAATTCTAGTTTCTCTTTGTTCACATTACTTTTTTCATCAGAAAATGCTCTGCTTTGGGCGTCCGGGCATCTGGACGCCCCCGCAGTCGTGGGCCCCGCTTGCCCTCAACAATTCCACTCCAGAAGTTTGTAAAAGAACTCCACTCCAAAAATGTTCGGCTTCACTCGACTCCAAAAACGCGACCTCCAATCGCCGTCGAGCCCGTGCCGCCACGAATTCTGGCATGGTCCACAGCGACCGCTCCAAAGCGCCCAGCTGCCTGCCTGGCGCCATCCTTCCTCTCCATCGCGCCTGAGCGCCGCCACCTGTCTTCCTCCCTCTCTACCGCCACTCTCCACTCACCACTAAGTTCTATGCGCCGACGTATGAAAGACCTAGTTTAGTTTTGGCTAATTGATGAAACTTAGTGTACTAACCTTTGTCATTAGTGATGCATATGAGCTAGGTTGGTACACACCAAGTGATGGAGCTAGATGATGGTCATGGTGATGGTGATGGCCAAAGTGAAGATCAGGAGATGATCAAGCTCTAAACTTGAAAAAGAAGAAAGCGAAAAATAAAATGGGCTCAAGGCAAAGGTATAATTGATAGGGCCATTTTGTTTTACCACTCAAGACACCATAGTGGCTGGGTGTGAGTGGGTTTATGATAGATAGCCATACTATTAAGAGGGGTATTCTCGATGCAAATACGGTTATCTAAGTGCCACTAGATGATTAACTCCATGCATTTGCATTAGGATCTAGTGAGTGCTAACATCCCTTGGAAAACATGTTTGTGAAATACTAACTCACGTGCACAAGTGACAAAACTTGGTAGAGTTAACACATTTGCACAAGGGATGAAGAATGGAGAAGAGAAAGGGGTCACAAGGGTGACCGGACTCTGCGACCGGACATGTCGGGCGAGTCCGGTGCCTATCCCTAGGTCTCGACCAGTTGCCTAGCTCTGACCGGACGCTGGCCAGGGGGCACGACCAGATGCGCCCTTGGCACTATTCATCATCTGACAACGCGCATAGTAGCACGACCGGACGCTGGGCGAGTCCGGTCAATAGTGACCGGATGTGTTCGGTTGCTATTGTCACGTTCTGGACCTCTCTGGATCACGATCGGGAGCCGAGGGCAAGGGAGTCCGGTCGTATGACCTATGTGTCCAATCAATAAGCAGTGAGAGCATGCGAAGGAGCCGTTGGGCGGCAATGGCTAGTTTAAAATGGTCGAGACATGTGGCAAGCTGTAAGTGACATGACGCTGGTGACCGGACGTGTCCAGTGCACCCTACAGTGCGTCTGGTCAGTGCGTAGAGACTGATTTGAGTGCCCAACGGGTATTTGACTTGTTGGGGCTCTATAAATATATGTTGGCCAGCTTGGGTACACTCTCTTGGACCTTTTGATCATTGATACATCCTTGTGAGCTAAATCAAACACCTCTCACTCATCTCCTTCATAGATTCATCATCTTTGTATGATTGGGAGTGATTCTAGTGCATTTGCTTAGAGTTTGAGCATCTAGTGGCACTAGTGATCTTGTGAGCTGTGGGATTGCTTGTTACTATTTGTGGTTGCCGCCACCTAGATGGCTTGGAGCAGCAGAGGAGCCTTAGGCTAGGCCTTTTGGTCGAAGAGATGGGCCGGAGTTGGAAGCGAGCGTTGTTCCTCCTTGGCCAGGCCTTCCGGTCAGAGAAGCGGGTCGGAGTTGGAAATGAGTGTTGTTCCTCCTCGGCCAGGCCTTTCGGTTGGAGAGGCGGGCTGGAGTCGGAGGCAAGCGTCGTTCCTCCTTGACTAGACCTTCCGGTCGGAGATCGGATCGCCCTTCTGGCCTGTCGTTTTAGGTACTCTTGGGTCGGCCCAGGAGTCGCACGTCGTTCACAACGTCGTCTGCTGGGCCAAACTGTAGAATAGAGAGAATCACCACACACCCAATGTGGGTGGGGAGCCTTTCATATATAGGGCCAATTAGGCACACATGCCAGGTACAAATATAGGAGGCTGTCATCTATATAAGGAAGCTATCCTAATGTAAGGAAACTAGGCTATACATAGCAACTAGCCTATCTAGGGGATCTCTCTAATGATCCTGATATATACATATCCTAATACCTGCCCGCAGTCGCAGCGGGAGAATCACGGACGCACAGACTGGTCCAAAAATCAGTGAAGAGCTGGACGGGTAGACCCTTGGTCATGATGTCTGCAAATTGGTACGTGGAGGGAACATGAAGAACTCGGAACTGTCCTAGAGCAACCTTCTCGCGGACAAAGTGGATGTCGATCTTGATGTGCTTCGTGCGGCGATGGTGGACGGGGTTGGCAGTCATGTAGACGGCGCTCACATTGCCGTAGTAGACAACCGTCGCACGCAGGATCGAGATGTGGAGTTCCTGGAGTAGCTGACGTAGCCAGCAGCACTCGGCCACAACATGGGACACTACACGATACTCTGCTTTGGCACTGGAGCGAGACACCGTCGTCTGGCGTTTGGAGGACCAAGACACCAGGTTGTCGCTGAGGTAGACGTAGAAGCCAGAGGTGGAGAGGCACGTGTCAAGGTAGCCGGCCCAGTCAGTGTCGGAGTAGGCAATGAGCTGGTCGATGGCGCCGGTGCCCAAGTGCAGGCCGGACGATAGGGAGCCCTTGACGTACCGTAGGATGCGCTTGATCAGCACAAGGTGCAGCTCGCGGGGGTCGTGCATGAAGAGACAGACATGCTGGACGGCATAGGCCAGGTCTGGCCTTGTCAGGGTGAGGTACTGGAGTGCACCAGCAAGGCTCCTGTACTCTGAGGGGTCAGCGAGCGCGGCGCCCTCTGTGGTGGACAACTTGGTCCGGACATCCACGGGGGTAGCTGTCGAGTGGCACTCAGACATGCCGGCACGCTAGAGAAGATCCACAGCGTACTGCCGCTGGGAAAGGAACAGCCCGCGGCTATCTCGAGTCACTGAGATGCCGAGGAAGTGGTGCAGGTCGCCGAGGTCCATCATGGCGAACTCCGAGCGGAGGCGCGCGGTGACGTGATGGAGAAGGGCCAGCGATGACGCTGTGACAATGATGTCATCGACGTAGAGAAGGAGGTAGGCCAGCTCGTCGCCAACCTTGTAGACGAATAGGGAGGCATCCGACTTGGAGGGGGTGAAGCCGATGCTGCGGATGAACGTGGTGAAGCGCTGGTTCCAAGCACGCGGTGCCTGCTTGAGTCCATACAAGGACTTCTGCAGCAAGTAGACAGAGTCAGGGGCAGCGAGGTCGACGAAGTCAGACGGCTGCTCGTAGTAGACCATCTCCTCGAGGTGGCCGTGAAGGAAGGCGTTCTTCACGTCGAGCTGGCGGATGGGCCACTCTCGAGATGCAGCGATGCTGAGGACAGTGCGGATCGTGGCCGATGAAAGCATCTAGACCCCTAGTTGGATTTCAGTGATTAATGACAATATAAGATTACTATGACTAACGTGTATTTTGCAGAGGCAATTAAGTTAGGTCATGGTAATGGAGATCGATTGGGCAATCGAGGTGGTCATGCCCCTACGATGGAAATCGTTTTGGTTTTCAAAGGATGGACGACAAGGTTAAGGATAACTAGTTCTAAGTGTCGATTGGAGTTGGAGAGACACTTAGAGTAGTTTAGGACTTTGTTTTTCCTTTGGCCGTACTATTAAGGGGGGTATGGATGGGTAGCTTGACCTAGGTGAGTCTAGTGAGTTAGGTGTGGTGCACACTTGTTAAAACTAGCACTAGGTAGCTCCTCAATATGCCAAAGATCCTTTGGAGAAAACTTCATTCACATATAATCGAGAGTTGGAAGTGAATGGAGGGTCAAATGTTGAACGGACGCTGGCTCCGGTGCGACCGGACGCTGGCCGTAGGGTCCGGTCAGTTCATTTGATCAAGCAGATTGCGTTCGGTGCGACCGAACGCTGGAGTGGTCAAGTGACCGGACGCTAAGGTCCAGCGTCCGGTCGACTCTAGTAAGGTTCCAAAAGAGGAATTCTACAACCGGACGTGTCCGGTCAGTACTGACCAGACCCTGAGGGTTCAGCGTCCGGTCGAGTACAGTAAGGTTCCAGTGAGGGTTTAATGCGACCGGATGTGTCCGGTCAGTGGTGATCGGACCCTGCCAGCGTCCGGTCAACACTTAAACACTGGTGTGCGGGTTGAACTGACCGGAGCGTCCGGTCAACATGACTGGAGCGTCCAGTCACCCCCGCAGAAGCTCATAACGGTTTGTTTTTCAGGCTGCCTTATAAATAGAAGCTCCACTCATGTGTGGAGTTACTTTTGCTCATTCCAACAGTTGAGAAACACGTTTGTGAGTGCCAAGAAGAGCAAGGTCCTAGTGAGGTGATTGAGATTTGAGAATCTAAGAGAGTAGCTTCATTAGTGAATCAAGAGTAGCAAAGTGTGCATCCACCGTTCTCATTAGGCTTCGCGTGGTCAAGTGAGAGTTCGTGCTTGTTACTCTTGGTGATCGCCATCACCTAGACGGCTTGGTGGTGATTGAGAGCTTGGTGATCATCCGGCGGAGCTTGTGGGTGATCCAACTCAAGTTGTGAGCGGTTTTGGGTGATTCACCGCGACAGAGTGTCGAAGAATCAACCTATAGAGAGCACTTGATCCTTGCGTGGATCAAGGGGGAGCTACACCCTTGCGCGGGTGCTCCAACAAGGACTAGTGGGGAGTGGCGACTCTCCGATACCTTGGCAAAACATCACCGCGTTCCTCTCTCTCTATTTACTTTGAGCATTTACTTTGAGCATTTACTTTGAGCAATTCAATACTTGTCTTTACATTCATAGAATTGCCATGCTAGAGTAAGTTTGGAACATAGGTTGCAAGTCCGTTGTGCGTTAGTTTAATAGAAACATTTTCCTAGGCACAAGGGGTTAATTGGGCTAACCGTAGGATTTAATTATTGCAAGAAAATTTAGAATTAGCCCAATTCACCCCCCTCTTGGGCATCTTGATCCTTTCAGCCGGCTTGACCACTGAATGTCTCATCATAGTCGACGCCGGCCTGCTGGGAGAAGCCACGGACGACCCAGCGTGCGGGTGAGGGAGCTGTCGGTGTGAAACTTGTGCTTGAACAGCCACTTTCTAGTGATGATGTTCGCACCAGGCGAGCGAGGGATGAGGCACCAAGTGCCATTGTCGATCAGCGCCTTGTGTTCTTCCGCCATCGTAGCGCTCCAATTGGGATCGGCGAGCGCGCTGCGATAGTTCACCGAGAGGGGCGAGGCAGCAGAGGCGGAGAATCCAAAGCGCTTGACGGTGCGGAGACTGCTGGTCTGTGAGCGCATCACAGGCCACGCTGCAACCCAAGGAGATGCTGCACCAGGGCCAGCAGCTGTTGCTGGGGCTGCTGGAGGCGCAGCAAGGGGCACCAGTGGTGCTGGAGGTGCAGCAGGTGCCACGGCTATGGCCACAGGAGCTGCTGCTTGGTCAGTTGGCGCTGCAGGAAGCTGGGCATGGCAAGTGTAGACAGCGCCAAAATGCTGGCCGCCCAGCCGGGGGCCGCCCGTAGGAGGTGCCGCTGGGGGGCGCCCGCCCGTAGGGGGAGCCAGGGGCCCAGCTGGAGGATAGCCGGGTCCAGGAGCTCTAGGGACTCGTCCATGCTGGAGGTGGGGGCCATAGCGCCAGCGAGCAGCGGAGCGGTGGTCGCAGGTGTCATCGAGGAAGATAGTCCCTGCATCAGGAAATCAAGTGAAGACGGCATGGAGGCCGCCGATGGTGCTGCCGAGAAGGGGAACACCAATTCATCAAAAATAACATGGCGAGAGATGATGATGCGCCGAGTGGACATGTCGAGGAAACGATACCCCTTGTGAGAGGATGGGTAGCCTAGGAAGACACAGGGTGTTGAACGAGGGGCTAGTTTGTGGGGGGAGGTGGCAGTGAGGTTTGGATAGCAGAGGCATCTGAAAACTCAAAGCGAGGAGTAGTCTGGGAGGGTTTTGTGAAGAAGCTGATAGGGTATATTGTTTTGTATGGAGGAGGAGGGTCGCCTATTGAGGAGGAAAGTGGCAGTGGCAAGGGCCTCAGCCCAGTAGGGAGGTGGCATGGACGCATGAAGGAGCATGGTGCGGATAGTGTCATTTGTGGTGCGAAGCATGCGTTCAGCCTTGCCATTCTATGGAGAGGTATAGGGACATGAGAGGCGGAGCGTAATGCCATGGCTAGCGAGGAAGGAGGTGGTAGCATGGTTAACGAACTCGGTCCCATTATCAGATTGGAATGATTTGGGTGTGGCACTAAACTATGTTTGAGCATAGGCAGTGAAATCGACTATGTGGCGGTGCACCTCGGATTTGTGACGAAGCGGAAACGACCAACAATAATGGGAAAAATCATCCAGTAGAACAAGATAATATTTAAAACCGGAGGTGCTAAGGACCGGGGACGTCCATACATCACAGTGAACTAAATCAAAAGGAGCAGTTGTCATAGAGGTAGAATGACTAAATGAGAGCCATACGTGCTTGCCAAGTTGACAGGCATGGCATAGAGATGGTGGGCTCTTATTACAGGAGATGACCAACATGCTCTATAGAGTGGCGAGGCTGGAAGGACCGGGGTGACCAAGGCAGTGGTGCCATAGCAATGAGGTGGTGGCGAGGCTGCAGTGGTGCGCTGGCGTGGAGGGGAAGGTGTAGAGGTCACCACCACTATTGTAGTGAAGAGTCATGTGCCCCGTCTGTTGGTCCTTGACAGAAAAATCAAAAGCGTCAAATTCAATAGAACAATCATTGTCACGTGTGAATTGACGAACGGAAAGAAGATTGCGCACGAGGGCCGGCGCAACCAGAACATTAGTGAGGCGAAAAGTAGAGTTGGGAGAAGACAGTGTGGAGGTGCCATGACATGTGATAGGAATGGTGCTACCGTTGCCAACCGTGATGCTAGAGGCAGGAGGGGGAGACGGGACAGAAGTATACCATCCGAGGGCGACATGTGAGTGGTGGCGCTGGTGTCGAGGACCCAGGGGTTGGACCCCTAGAGGGACATCTGGTTCAGGGCAGCGACAAGGCCAGCCTGATCCCAGCCGTCGGTCTGCTGAAGAGGAGGAGGGGCCGCACAGTCGGAGAACTGGGCGGGGGCGAAGGCGGTATGGGCCTGAGGATGGGCGCCGAGGATGCCGGGGCCGCGCCAGGCCAGGTTCGCTGTCGATGGGCGGCACTGTTGCTGTTGCGCCCTGGCTGTCCAGGGGGCATAGCAGAACCAGGGGCCAGCGGGCGGTGTGGGTGCCCATGGCCCGCCCCCAGACTGGGGACCGCCGTCGCCGCCGTGGCCGCCCTGTCCCTTCTTCCTGTAGCGACTGCTGCCGCCTCCCTAGCTACCGCTACCGCCACTGTAGCTGCTGCCACCGTAGCCGCTGCCGCCGTGGCTGCCCTAGCGATCGGCAGAGGAGCCGCCACCCACTGTGGTGGAGGCCGAGTGGTAGGCTAGACCGCACATGGCGTTGAACGTCGTCTGGGCGGCGACCATGCCCTCGTTGGCAAGGCGAAGTTCCTTGAGGACGAGCTTCTCGCGAGTGGTGGTGAAGTCCGGCCACGGGTGCGAGTCAGCGATGTTGTTCGCAGTGCTGGCGAAGCGAGGATTGAGGCCGCGTAGGAGGTTGAGGACGAGCTCCGATTTGGTGATGGTACGGCCGACGTCGCGGAGCGCATCGGCGGTGGCCTTCATCTGCTGGCAGTACTCGTCGATGGAGGAGTCACCCTAGGTCATGGAGTGGAACTTGTGACTCAGGAAGATGGCACGTGGGGCCTTGTTGGCGTCAAAGAGACGCTTGATGGCGACCTAGAGCTCGTACGCGGTCTGGTCCAGTGCCACAGCGAGGCCGAGGACGTCGGTCCCAACAGTGCCGAGGAGCCAGCTACGAACACAGGAGTACGCAATGGCCCAAGCAGGGTCAATGGGTCTGGCCGCCGTCGTGCCGTCAATGTGCAGGAGGAGGCCGAATTTCCCACAGAGGGAGGTGAAGAACGGCGACCACTGGTTGAAGTTCGGGTGCTTCAGCTCCAAGGTCACCGGGATGTGGGATTTGACGAAGATTGTCGCGTAGGGAGCGACGAACATGGTGGGGGCAGAGGGGGACTCTGTAGCCGCCATTGTGGCAGGGGAGTTGGAGGCGCTGGTGGCAGAGGAGGTGGACATGATCGGCCTGCAGGGGAAGAAAGGGCAAGTGTGGTGGGAGGGAGGGAGAAAAAAAGGATCTAATGCTCTATTACCATGTAGAATAGAGAGAATCACCACACACCTAATGTGGGTGGGGAGCCTTTCATATATAGGGCCAATTAGGCACACATGGCAGGTACAAATATAGGAGGCTGTCACCTATACAAGGAAGCTATCCTAATGTAAGGAAACTAGGTTATACATAGCAACTAGCCTATCTAGGGGATCTCTCTAATGATCCTGATATATACATATCCTAATACAAACTTTTGCTGGAAAGCCGATCCATATGGGACCTCGGGTTTATGAACCCGACACGCGGTTTGTTAGAACAAATCGGGTGAAGGAGGCATGGCTACAAACTCTGAAAAGTGAGTTTGATGGCCTAAGGATGAAGGAGGATGAGACACTCGACAGTTACACTGGACGATTGATGGTGATGTCGGTGAAGTTCAGTAACCTAGGAGGGACGCTTGATGATGTAGCGTTGGTGAAGAAGTTGTTCGACATCGTGCCCAATTGCTTCATCAACGTCATGGCCGGGATCGAGCAATTCTTTGATTTGCTAAAGCTAGCGTTTAAGGAGGCGGTTGGGAGATTGAAGGCGTTTGAGGATCGGACATGGCAGGGAGCTAGATCCGTGAAGAGTGACAGTGGCCAACTGTTACTCACTTAGGCCGAGTGGGAAGCTAGGTAGAAGAGATCAGGCGGTGGTGATTCCTCGGAGAGGGGGAGATCACAGGATGGTGGCGGCCGGGGGCGTGGCCATGGCCGTGGCCGAGGCCATGGTGGTCGTTTTGATTCATCTAGGACAAGATCCACATCAAATGTTTCAAATGCCATAAATATGGACACTATGCCAATAGGTGTCCAGATGCCAAGAAGCAGGACGAGGCACATCATGTTCGTGCAGAGGAGGGCAAGGAGCCACTGCATCTTACAGAAGGTGTTGTTTTAGGAGGCAAGGTGGAGAGTGTGTATCTGCATGAAAGAAGTGTGATGCTAGAACTGCATCTTACAGGAGGCAGTGAAACATCTGGTGATGTATGGTATCTTGATAATGGAGCAAGTAACCATATGACAGGTGATGTGGAGAAGTTCAAGTCACTTGATGAGGGAATCACTGGAAAAGTCAGATTTGGAGATGGCTCTATTGTTGAGATCAAGGGTAAGGGAACAATTTTATTTTAGTGTAAAACTGGTGATCATTGGGCTTTGACAGAAGTGTTTTTCATTCCCAAACATCATAGCAACTTGATAAGTTTAGGCCAGTTAACTGAATGTGGACACAAAATAATACTTGATGATGATGTATTAGAAGTGTCAGAGAAAAATCCCCTAAGATTGATCATGAAGGTAGATAGAACTCTGAATAGACTATATAAAATGGAATTGAAAATTACAACGCCTGTTTTTTTTCTGGCAAGTGTTAGTGATCAGGCTTGGTTATGGCATCGTAGATTGGGTCATGTGAATTTTCATTCAATGAAGCTTTTGACTGATAAGGAGATGGTAGGTGTACCTCCAATAGCACACCCTGATCAGCTTTGCAGGGCTTGTCTGACAGCAAAACAGACAAGGTCTTCTTATCCAAAGGTAGCAAAATGGAGAGCACAGAAGAAATTGGAGTTGGTCCATGTTGATCTATGTGGCCCAATAACACCAGCAACAACTGGAGGTAATAGGTACTTCATGTTGTTGATTGATGACTGCACTAGGTGGAGCTATGTGTATGCATTGAAGACCAAAGATCAGGCACTTGATACTTTTGTGAAATTTAAGGCAGAAGCTAAAAATGTTACAGGTGAAAAGATCAAGATATTGAGATCTGACAGAGGTGGTGAATTCCTTGCAGCAGCATTTAGAGAAGTGTGTGAGAAAGCTGGAATTTAGAGGCACCTAACTGCACCTTATTCCCCACAGCAGAATGGTGTAGTATAGAGGAAAAATAGGATAGTGATGGGGATGGCTAGATCACTGTTGGAAGGTATGAATGTCCTAGGGAGACTGTGGGGTGAAGCAGTGAGGCATTCAGTGTATCTGTTAAATAGATTACCTACCAAGGCCATAGGAGACAAAACCCCCTTTGAAGGTTGGTATGGGAGAAAACCAAATCTTGGTTACTTGAAGGTGTTTGGTTGTACTACTCATGTTAGGATAGCAGGGTCACATCTCAAGAAACTTGATGATAGAAGTAAGCCCATGGTGTATCTAGGTGTTGATGAGGGGTGCAAAGCACACAGAATGCTAGATGTAGCCAACAACAAGATTGTTGTTAGTAGAGACAGTGTGTGAGGAGGCTGTACCCTAGAGTTGGTCTACAGATTTAGGTGAAGCAGACTTTACTGTTGAAGATGATGTTGAGCTAGTGAGATTTGGTGTTGGAAGTGGAAGTGGCAGTGGAGTTGCTCAGCAGACACAGTTAGTGTCAGGGGGAGCAATTGCTGGAAACACAGAAGGGTCAGTAAGCATGACAGGCAATTTGCCAGATGAGCTACAGTCACCTGGGACAGGGACAGATGCTGGGGCAAATGCAGTGATTCCAGCCTCTGTTAATTCACATCCAGTTAACTCAAATGTTCAGGCATCAGGAAGTTCAGGTTCAGTAGGTGGACAGTTTGGTTTGTCAGATAATGAACAGTATGGTTCAGACTTACCAGATGGAGGCAACAGTTCTGAAGATAGTCCACTGAGATTTAGAAACCTGAATGAGATTTATGAAGACACATCAGAGGTGGATTTGGCTATGGACTCAGACATGGAGGCTATGCTAGCAATTATGAAAGAACCCACTTGCTACAGAGAAGTTGCAGGAGATGCAGACTAGGAAGCAGCCATGAAGAGTGAAATACAGTCAATAACCAAGAACAGACTTGGGAGCTAGTCAAGCTACCACCTGATCATAGACCCATTAGTGTCAAGTGGGTTTTCAAATTGAAAAGAAATGCTGAGGGTGAAGTTGTGAAACATAAAGCTAGACTGGTGGCAAAGGGTTATGTTCAAAAAAAGGGAATTGATTTTAAAGAGGTGTTTGCACCAGTGGCTAGGTTGGATACAGTGAGGCTCATCTTGACTTTGGCAGCTAATAGAGGTTGGCAGGTACATCACCTAGATGTGAAGACTGCTTTTCTGAATGGTGATTTGGAAGAAGAGGTATATGTGTCTCAACCAGAAGGTTTTGAGGAGAAAGCAAAAGAGAAACATGTAGTGAAACTGAGCAAGGCTTTGCATGGACTTAGGCAGGCTCCAAGGGCATGGAATGTGAAGCTTGACAAGTCTTTGAAAACTCTGAAATTCACCAAGTGTGCTTGTGAACTAGTAGTGTACACAAGGGGATCAGGAAATGCAACAGTGATTTTAGGTGTGTATGTTGATGACTTGATAGTGACAGGAAGTGATCCAGCTGAAATCTTGAAGTTTAATAAGAAATGACAACTCAATTTGAGATGAGTGATTTGGGTTTACTATCATTTTATGTGGGTATTGAAGTTGATCAGCATCAAGATTTCATCACAATCAAGCAAACAAGTTGTGCCAAGAAGGTTCTAAGCAGTTTGGCATGAATGAATGTAATCCAACTAAAGTTCCAATGGATCCAGGAATGAAACTTCACCAGGACAAGAGTGGAGAACCAGTTGATGCCACTGAGTACAGGAAGGTTGTTGGTTGCCTAAGGTACCTGTTGCATACTAGACCAGACCTTGCATTCTTTGTTGGGATGGCTAGTAGATTTATGGAAAGGCCTACAATCATGCATATGAAAGTGGTGAAACAGATTTTGAGGTATCTCAAGGGTACAATTGACTTGGGCCTGGTCTACACTCAGCATGGTGGTGATGAGCTGTTGGTGGGATACAATGACAGTGATTTGGTAGGAGATTTGGTTGAAAGGAGGAGCACTGGTGGAATGGCCTTCTATCTGAATGGAATGGAAACCTAATTACCTAGTCCTCACATAAGCAGAAAATAGTAGCTTTATCATCTTGTGAATTTGAGTTTATGGCAGCAACAGCAGCAGCTATGCAGGCTATATAGCTCAGAAATTTGTTGAAGGAGTTGACATCAACAAAGGCACACGTGGTGACACTGTTTGTGGACAATAATTCTACCATTGCATTGATGAAGAACCTTGTGTTTCATGGACGCAGTAAGCACATAGACACAAAGTTTCACTTCATCAGGGAATGCATTCAGAGGGGACAGATTGTTGCCAGGAGAGTTGGTACTAAAGAACAAAAGGTAGATTCACTGACAAAGGCTCCTGCAGCTGGAAGTCTGATGGTGATGAGGCATCTGCTAGGAGTGAGAGATCTTAATGGACTTCAGGGTTAAGGGGGAGAGTGTTGAGTGTAACCCTAAGTACACTGTGTCAGCTAGCTAAGCAGCAACATGGCAGGTGTGAAGCCTAGGCGGGAACGTGGGATTCAAACGCCAGAGGTGGAGGAGCGGTGACCATGCCCACACTCGACGTGTTGTCTGCAGTTATCTTCTGTGTGTGTTTAGCCTATGTTTAGGCAGTTGCTTTTTATATCTTAGTGCGTGAGTTTGCTGCTGGTATAAGTAGCTAGTCCAGGCTTCGTGTTTAACTGCTTGGCTCATTTGTAATCGTCATTTGCTGTTCAAAAACATCTGAGTAAAAGAGCTCTGTCAGCCGACAATTCTCCTATGTTCTTCAGTGTTCAGTGCCTGTTTTATATCTGATCCATAATCCGGTTAGGATTAGCCACTGCATGAGCGTGTGATCTTTGATCCTATATCCTTCAGCTTCGAGGCGCTCCTGGCGCCAGACATGGGCAGCGACGTCACATGGCTACAGTGCATGCCGTGCTTCCGGTGCTACCACCAGTCGGGCCCCGTGTACAACCGATTGAACTCAAGCTCGGCGAGTCACGTCGGTGGCTACGTGCCGGCCTGCCGCGCGCTGGGCAGCTCCGACGGCTGCGTCCAGTTCCTCAACGAGTGCCAGTACAAGGTCGAGTACGGCGACGGCTCCTCTACGGCGGGCGATTTCGGCATCGAGACGCTGACCTTCGCGCCGGGCGTCCGCGTGCCGGACGTGGCGTTGGGGTGCGGCACCGACAACTAGGGTCTGTTCCCAGCGCCGGTGGAGGGGACCTGGGCCTCGGCACGAGGATCTTGTCGTCCCCGAGCCAGATCGCCGGCCGCTACGGCCGGAGTTTCTCCTTCTGCCTGGCCGGCCTAGGCCCCCGCTCCCCGACCCTAACCTTCAGCTCGGGCGCCACGGTCACCACCCCGCCGGCGTCCTTCACCCCCATGTTGACCAACCCGCGCATGTATACGTTCTACTACATGCGTCTCGTCGGCATCAGCGTGGGCGGTGTGCTTGTGCCGGGCGTCACCGAATCTGACCTCCGCCTTGACACGTCCACGGGCCACGGCGGCGTCATCGTGGACTTCGGCACCGCCGTGACCCGCCTCGCCCTCCCCGCGTACGCCTTCCGCGCGACGGCGGTGACGAGCCTCGGCTGGCCCTCCCTAGGTGGCCCCTTCGGCTTCTTCGATACGTGCTATAGCACCGTGCGCGGAGAAGTGAAGGCGCCTGCTGTGTCGATGCACTTCGCCGGCGGCGTCGAGGTGAAGCTCCCGCCCTAGAACTACCTCATCCCCGTTTACTCCAAGGGCACCATGTGCTTCGCGTTTGCCGGCAGCGGCGACCGTGGTGTCTCGATCATCGGCAACATCAAGCAGCAGGGGTTCCGCGTCGTGTTCGACGCTGATGGCCAGCGTGTTGGGTTCGCGCCAAGTAGCTGCTGATTTCGTTAACGATCGTCGCCTCCTCTGTCCTCTCATTCTGAGAGAGGAAGAGCAGGGGTCGATGGGTCACATAATTGAGTACTCATACATTTACACTTCTGTCGGTTCGTCTTGAAAAGTATATCATTTTCGTTTTTTCAACGAGGGTCTGTTTGGTTTCTTTAGTCACTCCTCTGAAGTTTAGTGACCTTCTGTTTGATCTATGTGTTAAAAGTAGGCTAAAAATGAAAATGAGAGGAGAGAGAAAGATTGTAAAGTCACCTGGGACCACTTTTAGTCACTTTTAGATACCCCTTGGTGACTAAAGGTACTAAACTTTAGTGACCGCTTTTAGTTAGGATGTTTGGTATTTCAGTGACTAAAAGTTACTAAAGTTTAGTCACTAAACTCTAGGAGGGGTGAACCAAACAAGCCCGGAGTCACATTCTTGATTTACGCGCCTCCCACTGTCACGGGTAAGTCCAGAATGGCTTCGCGCAGTGTGGTGGCGGCCAGCACACCTCCATCACGGCACAGCTACCCATCGACACAAGGCTCGGGTGAAAACCTTGCTAAGCTGCTGCATGGCTGACGATGATTACGTATTGGCGTCATCCACCTCCTTGGAGGCATCGTCGAAGAGCTCCTATGTTTTGTTGTGGTAGTCTTTGCATTTCGCTAGTTTATTTGTGGTTTATGCCACTCCTCGCCATGGTGCTAGGGCGCTACTATTGTTTTCCTCCTTAACGTTGTAAAACATAAAACGAGCTGATTTAGGGCTATATCAATATACATTCAGGTGGGGAGTAATTCCGGGTGACATTGAGAAAAAAGGCTGGTCAGGTTGCGAACTAAGCGTTGGTTAGATTCTTTATAACTTGCTCGTATGCGTTGTAAGTTCTCGACTAGAAACATGTTATTATCTTTTAGTTATAAAACATGTTGACAACAAGACTGCTATAGCGACTTCGTCAATCTTTTAGCTCAATCATATCTCTGAAGGGACTGAACGTGTGCAGGCACGATCAGATGAGTGTATTGATGTGAGAGTCTGCCCTATGTTTCGAGAAAAACAAATCCGGTCATTTTTTCAAATAAAAATCAAATTAAGCTGACGGTTTTGATATACTTTTTTTGCTTGACAGTGCCTTTTGAAGACTTCCAGACGGCGCACGCACGCAAGGTCGCAAGCTAAGAAAATACAGAGTCGCCGGCTCGCCGCACTTTTATGGCCACCTTGCCTATAAACGGCCCGTTCGCTTGATGATTCTAAGCTGATAAGCTCGATTAGTGCTGGTTTACTGTGAAAGAAAAATATTGTTGATTAACTGATAAGCTCCAGCATAAAACCAACGTGCGAAAATCAGAAGCCAGCCGGTTGCAGTCCTGTCACCACCAAAACCATCCAATTCCTCCAAAGCCAAGAAACCAAGAAGACGATCATGGCTGGCACGGCCAAGACCCTGCTCCTGGGCTTCCTCCTAGTCCTTGCTGTTGCGGCGACCTCGACGCAGGCGGCAGCCACCATGCTGACGCTCCACAACCTGTGCCCGTACCCCGTGTGGCCGCTGGTGACCCCGAACACCGGATTCCCCGCCATCTCCGAGAACACGGGCCGCCTCGACGGCGGCGGGCGCGGGCTGGTCTCCTTCCGCTTCCCGGACAGCTTCTGGGCGGGCCGCGTGGTGGCGCGCACGGGCTGCAGCAGCAGCTCCGGGCCGCCGCCGTCGTCCCGCTGCGAGACGGGGAGCGCGCCACCGGCGACGGTGGTGCCGCTGGTGGTGCACGCGGAGGCGGAGGGGTGGCAGCAGGACCTGGCGGCGTACAGCGTGAGCCTGGTGGACGGGTTCAACGTGCCCGCCGTGGTGAGCCCGCAGGCGGTGGGCGGCGGGCAGTGCCCGGCCCTGGGGTGCGCGGCGGACCTCAACGCCGGGGGCCCGCCCTCGCAGCGCGTGCCGGGGGCCAGAGGCGCCGTGGTGGCGTGCAAGGGCCCCCCCCCGGGATACTTCAAGGAGCGGTGCCCGCTGACGCGCACCACGGCCACCGATGTCGAGCCCGTGCCGCAGCGGTGCTTCGCGCCTGGTGAGATCAAGGTCGTCTTCTGCCAGTCCGCCATGGTGAACGCCGCCGCCGGCGACGCCGGGCGCATCCGCACCGTCGTCGCAGACAACTAGATCGGTAACTACCTAGCCGCCGCCGGCCGGCCGGCCGGTCGTTGCTGCCTCACTGATCAGTTGAAGGGAGGAGATGGCCCTCTGATTAGTGCGTAATAAAGGTAGATTAACTAGGTAATCGTCAAAAGAAGTGACAGTACAGAATCTATCACTGCGTTGCATCACCGTCTTTTGGATCATTGGCCTTGGATCATGTCAGAGTCCATTAAGGACGCATCCATGGGTTCTTGGCCACCCCTAATAATACTATTTATTTGGTAGTTGTCGCCCAAGTTAGAGTTTGGGTTTTGCTTACATTAATCTATCATTAAAACCGTCATTGTTCATCGATTTGTGAGACCTCAATTTTAAATGTTTAATCAATATTCAACAAATTTCAGTTGCGTTCTCTCTTATTCTTGCCTGTGTTTTATTATTCTCATGCGAGCATTATACTTAGTGGCGAGGTCAATGGAGTAGTGCCCCAATTGATAATAACTAGAGAAGACATGGTGCTACGATTCTAAGGCGTCGAGTCTTTACGATAGGAAGCCGAACTGTGTATGTCAAGCTTCAACCAAATCGAGAGTTACCTCCACCAAGGAGAAGACCAAGCACCCTCGCTCCCATCAAAGTGTCTTGTCACCAAAAATATCTAGTGAATTTCAGACACGGTCGGTTCATTTATGGAGATAGATTAAAAAAAACTTTATAAATCAGTTTTCTGCTATTCACAGAGACATGCCTCTTAAGAGTGCCACCTATACAAATAATTGTCTGTAGAAAAACATAACTTTTACATATGAGATTAAGACAAACTTTACATTAGAATTGTAAACTCAACAACATATACACTTATAGATTACAATTTTTTATTTAAAAATATTAAGAGTCGCAAACATTCATTTGAAGTTCTCAGATTTTGAGAATCAAAATATAGTATCTTTGAAGGACGTTGCCATGCTCTACACAAAAGTTGTAGTATCAATGTCATCTATAACTTTGTAGTTGATATTTTTTTTAAGTCATTTAGAGTCCCCATAAATACTATTTTTATGTTCTCAAATTTCTAATTTCAAAATTTAGAATTTTCAAACGACTTCAGATGTTGGTATGATCTATACTAAAGCTGTAGTTATCAAAGCATCAATAATAACTTTTTAGTTAAAAGTTCTTTATTTGAAAATATTTAATCCCAAATACCCATTTCAAATTATCAAATTTTGAGATTCAAATATTTGAAATTTCTAAATGATCTGGATGTAGGCATACATCAAAGTTGTAGTGTTTGATGAGATCTAAATTTGTATTTAAAACATTTTTTATTTAAAATCGTTTAAGGGCTGAAATATTCATTATTGCCTGGTTCATAAAAGTTAGTATGAAAGTAGTCACGAAGGAATATGTGGTGTATTGGTAGAAAGGGGACACACGAGGCAAGAGGTTATAGGTTTGAATCCTAGTAAACATACACATATAATTCTTGTGCGAACGACTTATGACTTACGATGAAAAATGTTTTGCTATTCTTTTTAGTCGAGCCCCTTAAGATGTCTAGCAAGCTCACGCGGTGTCGACCTATGCTGCTTGTCCTAGGATTAAAAAAAATTCCCCTTTTAATTTTGTTTTTTGTTTTTGGAAAATCATTTATAGATGCTATCTGGGCGTCCGTTTCTACAAATTGAGGACCACTAATCTCACCGTCTCATCTCTCACAACTAAAATGAGTAAAAGGTGGACAACTTTTCGTGCGGCAAAATTCTTCTGGTCGTCCGTCTACCGACCTGCGACCCCTATCCCGCGAGATTAGCTATGTAACGCTCGCCCTACGTTGTGGGGTTCTCTGATTTTTTTCTTCCTCACCCGACGTGCATCACGCGGTTCTCTCCGTCCCTCTCCAGTTTTCCTTTCTCTCACTAAAGGAAGTTACGATCGCCAAAAAGAAAGAAAGTCACGATCGCCCTATAGCAATAGCCGGTCTCAACTCGGCAAGGCCGTGTGATTGCCTCACCCTGCAAGGGACTGTTTTTTCATTACACGGGACAGGATAGGAGGCGGTAGAGGAAAGCGAAACTCCCGCCACGACGCCGGCCATGATCATCTCATCCACTGCCGTGGTTGATGCCGACCGCCGAACAACAGGAGGCGGACAAGTGCGAAGAGGTGACCTCCAGCCGCTATGGCCTAGGGAGAGGTGATCTCCACCTACTCACCGTCGGCCTCACCTGCCAGAGATGGCGTCGTCCCATCGCCGCCAGTCACGTGGTCATGCCCTGACGCACACGACGCCAGCCACGATGTCGACGCCGACCGCTGGGCGCCAGGAGGCGGACGAGTGCGAAGAGGCCACACGACGCCAACCACCAGATACCAGGAGGCGGACGAGTGCGAAGAGGCCCTCGGCACTGCCTTTCCCCTACCGCGACTGCTTTATCAGGTATTCAGGTGTGGTTTATGATTTCATCCTATTCTGAATGATAGACTTTTTTTGCTTCAACTTTCCCTACTTTGCGAATGATTTGATGTTAATCGGATAAGCATTTGAGATCATGCAAAATTTGTTTAATCGTGTATTTTTGTTCCTGCTCTAATGCTGAAAAGGCTGTGTGAACGAGGTGCTATTGGAACCTGCTTATATGATTGCATCCTTCCGTGCCTTGCTTCATTTCAGGCTTACGCCTCCCAAAGTCGGCTAATCAGGTAATCCTTCATTGATCGTAGAAGTCATATTCTTCATGTATTGACGGTAGATGCAACCATATAAATATCAGTAGATGAGGTGATTACTGAACCATTGCACGACGCCCTTGCCTGTTTTTTTTTATCAACGCCCTTGTCTGTTGCCTCCAAACAAAAAACAAGAATATACAGTCAATTGATTAGTGTGGCTCTAAACATTTCCCTTCACCTCTTACAGTCCTAGCTAATTTTGCATGCCAAGTAAATAAGTAGACATTCTGTCATTATGTTTATAGATTATAGATGCACCTCGCCTGTGTGTTTAGCTAGCCATGTCTATTAGCAACCAGCCTTCACTGAAAAAGGATGCAGCAACACCTTTGCCATATAAATTTGACTCAACCCAACAACTTGCTTTCTCACCAAACTGAAACTTTTTAATTTCAATCCCTGTAATTTTGCTAGGTTTGTTTGGGATTCATACTAGCTAAAGTTTCAATCCCTGTAATTTAAGTCAAGAAAATTCATATGGCAGCAAGATCTTATTTCGTGTGAGAACATGTGTTGAAGACCTAGCATCACTGCCCGTCGCTCACCTCTATCGCGCGATGCTGTCGCCCAGCCCAATGCGCGTCGCCTGCAGCACTGCAGGCTGTCCTAAGGTCAGTCCAGGTGTTGCTGAGTGCCTACTGTTCATGATATGGCATTTCAAGATTGTTTTCACTCCTGCATATTGTTCAGGTCCGGCAATTGTAAGCGAAGTGGTTTGATTGTTGATTTTCATATTCAAAATCATCGAATGTTATGATCAGTTACCAAATTTTTTTTTGTCTCATGAACTGATGGAGCAATTACAAGTCTGACCGATTTTGTGCCATCGATTTATTGATTTTGAGCAGTCCTCTCCTGTCAATTTATTGATTTTGTTGTGCTTCTTTTTCTTTAACACAATCTATCTATTTTATCAATGCCTCCATTTACTGTTCATTGTCCGGCAATTGGTATGATGAGGCACAAACAAAACAAAATAAAAAGGAGGAAAAGGATCTCAATTCAGTATAGATTTAGGCGCACGTGCTCTACTAATGCTTGACTGGGGCAAACAATAGGTCAGTCCAAGTTTATGCTTTTCTCAACCTAATAATTCTGATTTCCCGCCTAGAAGGGTCTGCATGATTGAATCATGAAGCACACTTAATCGAGATTTCACAGCCATCAATGTTATTTTTTCATCTATTAAGGTCGAATGTTTTTTTGTCTATTCAATCAGTAGCTTCACCATTCACCAGGTCGAGTGTTGTGTGTTTGTTGACACATATGTGTATTCATATTTGAATCATTCAGGGTTCAGATAGCACTATACTGGAAGATTATTCATGGAATTTTTTTAGTCCCGGATAGATGATGGGATGATTTTGTTCCTTGCCGTTGCAGATTAACTCAGATAACCAAGTAACTGGATTATGTAATTTCTTTTTCTTCTCCATCCTGAATGACAGAACCCTGAATATCTAATTTTTTCTACTTTCTTCCGTGAAAACTGAAGGTATCACTCAGAAGTTTGTCCAAGATTGCTTTTTTATTTTGGAGGTTCTTGCTTAACCCCTTATCCCGTGATGCATGCATGCTGTCAGATTGTTGTTAGCAATACAATTACTCTATCTTTGGAAAATCATGTCACAGGGGATGTGGCCACAGCCCAGCACCCAGGATATAGGTCAGGTTTTTTTTTTTTTGCCTGACCATCTAGATTATATGCAGAATATTGCTGGTGCAAAATTTGTCAAGTTCCACACACATGTTTATGATAAAAAAGCATAGGTAATCTTTTTAAACCATAGTTCTAAGCAACTAAACTAAATATACTCAGTTTAAGGAGAAGGTTCTGATTTTTTGTTGTCTCAAAATTAATAACATAATTTGGGGTAAAGTTTTCAGGCATGCCTCACCGAGGGCTGCTCCAATCAGTCATGCCAGTTCAAGTTAAATCATGCCACCCTATATGCAAATAACTAATAATTTTCCATCTGTGAATTCATTGTTTCTGAGCTTAATTTGTAGTCTGATAAATATTTTTGCACTCTATTTTTATACTGAATAATTATCTGATTTATCACTTTCTGATTCTTTTTGCAAAATCATGTGGTCAGAAAAGCAGATTTATGAATGACTTTAGAAACACTTTATCGAGTCCTCAAGAAGCAATGGCATCAGGAGCTGGATTACTGATAAGCTTGGTCTGAGAAAAGAAGTTGCTCCAACTATTTAGAATTTTGATGCAGACTCCATAGCACTTCCATAGCATTTGATACAAATTTCAGTGGACAACTTATTAATCGCAG